TTGGAAACACCGATCTTCGCGACAGACTTTATATGCTCAGCCATACAGAAGAATGGTATGGACCGTTTGGAGTTTTGGCTTCCATGAGCGAGAACGGTTGGGAGAGACTGCTTTCGGCCCATCACCAGGAGACCCAGGTGGTCGCCGCTAGCAACCCCTCGTCGCCAGCGAACCCCGGTACTGCAGCATCTTCCACGGATCCCGGGACCGATGCCACTCAAAGTTCTACAGCAACTGCCTCACAGCGGACACTCACTAACAACAACGGCACGAGCGTGACCCAGGTTCAGTTCGTGATGATCATCGCCTGTGCTAAGGCCGCTTCAGCTGAAGCCAGAAGGCTTTTGGAACGTGGCCAGAGAGAACTAGATGCCGCGACTTCGTCATCGTCGGGCCCTCAAGTCAACATCGACAAGCTTATCAAGAACCTAACGGAGAAACTCGGTGTGGTTCCACCTAATATAGTACCGGACGAGAAGGTCATGAAGCTACTCTCGAAGTCTAGCAGTGCGTATGTAGACTTCAAGCTTCTCAACGTCTCTAACTCTAACTCAAATGCAAGGAAAAGATTGAGAACCACTACAACGGGGCTGGTTGTCGAGGTATACGAAAAACCTGAGGATTCCCGCTCTGGCGATAATGGTCTCGTTCTCGACATTATGGGGGCTTGGACAGCGCAGTTTGGTAGATATGTCGCGGGCGTATGTCTGGTCGACGAACATGCAGCGAACAACATCCTGACATTTCTATCGTATCAGTGCGAGATCGGCCGTATCGCCCTGTACTCTCCGGCACGTGCGGTCGACGCTGATCGTCAGTTCCGCATGTCAGTCCCTGGCATCGCAGCTACGGGAGTTCCTGTCTGGCAGTGCTATGCGCAGGAGCACACGGCCCCCTTTTTCTCGAGGCTTCTAGCAGAGATGGCAAACCGGCGCATGTGGAGCACGTACCGTCAGCCAAAGGGGGGCAAAGGAAAAGGAAAAGGAAAGGGGAAAGGATCAGGAAAAGGTAATCAACAAAGTTGGTCGTGGTCCGCCAGCGGGAAGGATGTCGATAATAAGTCTTTCGCAACTGGAGACCAACCCAAAAGCATGCCATCCAAGAAGTAAGCTGGCAGAAAGTTGGTGATGGATGGCAATATGCTCGTCTCTCTCAGGTGATCTGCGATGATGAGACCTTTCTCTTCTAAAACGCACACTAGAGTGCGAGTCTAGCTCTGAGTAGCACTGATGATGGGTTTCACGTATCCCCTGGAGTTCAAGTTACAGTTAAGCGGATGGTGCGGACAATCGCCTGTCAGGCTCGGGTGAAAAAAAACACTGACATTCACTAGACTATCCCTTGAACTCGCCGTCGTCCGAACCTTACCCAGCAGTCACTAAGTACCACATAGCTGTTTTTTCCCTCTATGACCAAAAATCGCCAGAGGTCCGAACAAGCGCTCGAGCGCCGAGCACGCATCAAGCGGACCAGACGTGCTGTGAAAAGGGCACGCGTGCCGGCTAAGATAACCACGACTCCTTCCTGTCAAGTTACAACTCTCTCGGCTGGCCATAACGAGCAAACTCAGTTACTCCCAGTGAACATCGACAGCACGGTTCATCCTGCCGATAGAAGAGCTGTGGAACTTTACAAAATCGCTATCACCGAGAACCGCGCAAAGGAAGCCGAGCTCGTCAAGGGAATCACCGATGGGTCGGCCATGGCGGAATGCTGTGAATGGGGAAGACTACTCGGGCAGCGGATCCAGCAAGTTCATGCGAGGCATAGTCCAACTTCGCACTGTTCTCGGAGTCGATTGCCCGGCTGAAGTGTGAACCCGCAGTGGCTCCTCTGGAGAGTTGGATCCGATTGTCACGGGACGAACAGG